AAAAAAAAAAAAAAAAAAAAAAAAAAAAAAAAAAAAAAAACCTCACCCGTGTATGTTTTTTGGGGGTTTTGTTTTCGTTTTTTTTTTTTTTAAAGGAGGGGCGGGGAGTAAAGTAGAGTTGTACAGCTTAGCTCAGTGGCAAGGGGAATGGGAGTAAATTAGAGAAAGAATCTATTTACAATCTTGATATCCAATAAGGATAGTGTAGGCTTGGTACAAAGGAAAGCATCTTTACCCTGGCACACTGAAAATTATTCTGGCAGAATCGGTCGCTGCTTCCTCCATTCAGTCCTTTCCTTCACCAGATGCTGAACCCATCTCTGTTCTTACTTCATTTTGTAATTCTTGGTAGCAGCATTTGCACCTAGGGTCTCCATCAGGCGGCGTGGCCGGCTCTCAAGTCACGCAGGCACGCACCGCTCAAAGGCTACGCCCTAGGGATGGAGATCTCTCTTCAGCGTTGGCCCCACGTGCAGCTGATATCCCTTAAGTAATTGTTTCTTGTTCCGTCTCAGGTTACAGTCCCTGGACACGACTCACACCTCACGAAGCTTACTATTCCAGGGAAATCCCAGCCCTATAGTGCTCTTAAAAAAGATTTTCACCTTCCATTGCGATTGCAGCTGGATTCCATCTCCGTGTCAAATCCTTCATGCCCGATGATTCCTCTGTACAAATACATGCCCAGCCACTCTGCTGCAACAAAGCCTAGTCTAATCGTGTTTTTCATGACTCTTTTGCACATATTTTTCAAATAAAGCAAGACGTGAAACTCAATCCCCTGGAATCAGGGATTGGTTACTCCAGGGTCTGGCAACTCTCCCTCTTGTGAGACTCCAATGGGATAGACTCCACTGTTTTCCTTAAGAAGAAAACCGGATGTTTCCAAACCTGGCCCAGAGTAACCTGTAACGACAAAAATCGATCTTCAGTCTGGATAAAATGGAGGTCACTGCCTAGCAAAGGCTGCCCACGTAAAACTCCATCCCGAAGGAGTCCCAAACACTTGTAAGAAAGTTCAGAAGCAAAACAGACATCCCTACAAGAAAAACAATTTGTATACGGAGAGCCACACGGATCAAAGCCGCAAGGATGGACACTTTCTGATCACCTGCTATGTATGACCTTCTGCGGGTGTTATTTGTAGAGAGCCAATACTGCCTGCCAATGGTTCTCTCCCCTAAGGAAGAAATTTCGAAATAACAGACTAAGAACATTTACTCTTGCCAACGTTCTAAGGACAAACATATCTGATGTGGCTACAGATGAAGTGGCCTCTGTCTCTGGTGCCTTTACCCTGGCCTCCCTGCCCCCAGTGCCACCGTCCTATGAAGATGACCCCTCCTATGTAACCCTCGTCTCTTGCCTGAGCCCCAGCTGCTCACCAGACACACCCACCTGAATACGACACATATGAACTCGGGGCTCCCCCTGTTGACAGTTGAGACGCCATGCGAGGCTGTTCGTTTCCCATATTCAGTCCCTGAAAGCTGCTGTATTTGCTCTTTGCCAGCCTCTTCAGGCCAGTTAGTGCCCCTCACTGCTGACCCAGTGGCTGCTCACGGGTATCTTTGCCAAGTCCGTCTTCCACACAGCACCGGGGGAGCTGGGCTGCCCAAAGCTCTCCTGCTCCCTGAACACAAGGCAGTGCTCGCAATCACAGGTCTGGATGCCATTCTGAGTGTGCCACGCCTTGTTTCCTACTCAGTAAAATTCTATTTCATGGCGACTGGAGAGATGGCTCAGCGGTTAAGAGCACCGACTGCTCTTCCAGAGGTCCTGAGTTCAGTTCCCAGCAACCACATGGTGGCTCACAACCATCTGTAATGGATTCCGAGGCCCTCTTCTGGTGTGTCTGAAGACAGTGTACTCATACACATAAAATAAATAAATCTTTAAAAAGAAGAATTCCATTCCAAGCATCATCTTCAGTCTGGAAGCCCATAGAGTTCCAGGCGGTTGGATTCAAGGTTGATCCTCTGAAGACGCTGCTTTTGACTAGTGAATTTCCAGCGCTGTGGTGTGGACCTACTCCGTGCTGGCCTTCTTTAGCATGCCATGAGCTCTCTAAGACCAGGAGCTACTGGAAAAACATCATTTCTCAGAGCCTGACACAAAACAGGAAATAAATGGATATGGAGCTGTTTCAGCAACCTGGTACAGAGCTTTCCAGAACTCTGAGGGATTGAGCAGTTTTGCAAAAATAAGTTTTATGTTTGGCAAGATTCAGCTCACTAGTGTATGCACACACACACACACATTTTCATGTGTGTGTCAAAAAAAAAAACAAAATCCAAAGATAAATGCAAGTGAGCACACTGTAAAACTGGAAAGAAAGCATTTGCTAGCTGTTAACCCGAATCTGCACTGCCTTCTAGCGCAGAAAACAAATTCTTACAATCAGTTTGAAGTAGACGTGTCCCCTGTGAAAGTAACTCTCTCTATCCTAACACATTATAAGAAGAGAAAGCTGGGAATGGTGGCACGCACCTTTAATCCCAACACTCTGGAGGCAGTGGCAGGTGGATGTCTTAGCTCACACAGCCAGACCCTGTCACAAAAGTAAATTTTAAAAAGGGATAAATATCAAACAGGAAAATCAGCAGTAACACCGAGGTGCAGGTTTCTGAGTGCGGTGCATTTTCCACAGGAAGTGAGAACATGCAGTGTTCTGCAGGCCATGAAGGCTTGAGATTCTAAGGAGGTACATGGGCACCCTGGTGCCCTTTCTTGGTGCCAAATCTAGTCTATATTTTAATATCAATAGTATGTATAGCTTTGTAACCACTCCTAAATTTGAAAATAGCATGAGTCTCTTGATCATTTTATTTAAATAAGCATTAACTTATGTCCTGGAAAGCATGTATTAATAGTTCAGAAAGGGATCTGGGTATATTACATTTGAAGTAAGACGAAGCCAGGTATGTATGGTTGGTGTTATCCCAACTCTTGGGAGGCTGAGGCAAGATCGGTACAGTTCAAGGCTAGCCTGGACTACAAGTGAGACCCATCTGAGGAAAACAAAAACAATCAAGTGTGTAAGAGGGAACTCGGTTTGCCCACAGCTGAGTTCTGACCGGACCCTTTCCTAAGACTGTGTGAAAAGAAATGAGCCGTTTGCTCATGGGCCTAACAGGAGACTTGTTACTGAACTAACTTGCAAGTGGACTTGTCTTACCAGACGGAGACTGGCCCGGGGCTTTGAACAGGACCATCGAACCACAGCTATGTCTTTATTGTGTTACTTTTGGTTCAGACACAGCATCTCCCTAAGTTGTATAGGCTGGACTTGGAACTCACCGTAATCCAAACTGGCTTTGGATCTGCCTGCCTTCACCACCGGAGTAGCTACTATAGGCCTGGACCGCTGTGTCCATCTAAAGATAACGTGACTTAAATCAGAAATCTGATCAAAACCCGGTGTAAAAAATCACTTAAACAGGGTGAGGGGGTGGTAGGTCAGTGACAGTGTGCTGAGCATACACAAAGGCTTGGGTTCAACCTCCATTAACCCCCAACACAAGACAAAACATGACCAGGAAATTATTCAGTGGTCCGGGTCCTCAAGACCTGTGTTTCCCTCTGCCAGGTAAAGGAAGCACAAGGAACACTTGGTGACTTTTTTGAAGACAGTGTACCTTACCAAAGGTGACATGGAAATGCTGGTCACCAAGAACCATGTCCTTTTCAAGAAAACTTTCACAAAGTGCCTACTAGTTTACACGTGTGCCCATTTGAATTAAGATGGTAAAATTCCAGCACTCAGGAGGCAGCGGCAGGTGGATCTCTGGGAGTTCGAGGCCAGTCTTTTCTACAGGGTTCCAGGACAGCCAGGACTATAACAGGAAAAAAAAAAATCCTATCTCCAAAAGAATCCAGGTTTCTCAGACTTGAATTCTGCCTATATTAAAATGGTGCACACCGGCTCTGCTGTCCGATTATGAGCTGATGCTGAGGCGAGAAGTATCTGTTTCTAGGGAAAGTGTACAAATCCACATACCATACCTGTTCTCCTACTGCAACAGGATTGAGGGGGCATCCCATGGAGGTTTGTGAGCTCACTTCTGCCTTTCTGGTGACCTCAGGTCAGAGAGAATGATGCTGGACTAGGTGAAGAGCATGGTGTTCTTGATGCCGATGACAGATTCTAAGCCGAGTTTGTTCTAAACTTGACACTGCCCTGGGTCTCACAGATTGATTAATCATTCTTAAGCTCGCAAGCCAACTCACAGCTCTTTGTGAGAGGCCTCATGCTGGTTTTTTGTTTTACAAGCTTTCTAAGTGATTCTTGTCATTAAAAGCACAGGAACAAAAGCTATTAAAGATGGTCAGATTGAGTAGGGGCAGCGTTGGCCCATGCCTTTAATCCCAGCACTCCAGAGGCAGAGGTAGGGGTAGATGAATCTCTAAGTTCAAGACCAGCCTGATCTACAGTGTTCCAAGACAGCCAGGGCTACACAGAGAAACCTTATCTCAGAAAGTAAATAAATTCTAAGATTATAACATTTGCTTGGGAGGGACCATGACTACCTCTGAGCTTATTTTATTTACATTATCTGATTATCAATAAAGAATATTCATATAGTGAATGTTGTCTCTTTCCAATACTGTTTTCTTTGCAAAACTAACAGACTCTACAAACTAGAAAAGACTGCCATATGGGGCTAGAAAGATGGCTCGGGGTTAAGAGCACTGACTGTTCTTCCGGAGGTCCTGGGTTCAATTCCCAGCAACCACATGGTGGCTCACAACCATCTATAATGGGATCAAATGTTCTTTGGTGTGTCTGAAGAGAACGACAGTATATTCACATAAATCTTAAAAACTGCCATAAATATACTCTAGGAGAGATCAAATTTAAAGTCTTAGGCAAGAATATTGTTGGTATCAGGAACCGGCTTTACAGTTGCAGGTCCGATTCCAGCAGTGACAGTGACGTCACCCACAGGTGGCAGGGACCCATGAATCTGTTGCTATGGCATTCGCCATACATTCCCAGCATCCATTTGGTTTACCTCCCTCCTTTACCTGCGAGCGGTTACATCACAGCCTAAATAAAAGGCAAACAGACTCTCTTGACCTTCGCTCTCTCTTTTTCTCTTCCCCCCACCGTCCCCTTCCCCCACTATAAACCTCTCTCACGTGGAACTGCACTGGCCTGGTGTGGTCTGTCCAGACTCGAGCTGCAATTCTAACACAACAAATATTTCAACAATATTCTCAAAGTCCAGATGATCCTGCAAAGCCAGGATATGCTATTTATGGCATAGTTCAAGTTAAGTTGAACTATGTGGCTGTGTCTGAGAAGAAGTGTTTGAGGAACTCACTGGGGACCTGCATCCAGTCTCCAGTACCACAGAAACACAGTGCTTTGGAAGATTCCAGTTAATGTAGTCAACTTAGCCACGGGACCAGATGTTAAATAAATAGCCTAGTATGATCTTAGATTTCCAAACACATTTTGGATAATCATGACTAAAAGACATTTGTCCTGAGTAATGAATTTTATTGTTTCCCACGTGCTTGTGTTGAAACATATTACATAGTTGTAAGCAACGTTTTTTGCTTCCGAAAGGAGTTGGGACATTTAACGGGACCTTAGCTCACCAGTAAAAATCTTTCTATTGGCAAGGCAGTGGTGGCACACGCCTTTAATCCCAGCACTTGGGAGGCAGAGGCAGGCGGATTTCTGAGTTCGAGGCCAGCCTGGTCTACAGAGTGAGTTCCAGGACAGCCAGAGCTATACAGAGAAATCCTGTCTCGAAAAAACAAACAAACAAAAAAGAAAAAAAGAAAAATCTTGCTATTGTTACTTTGTAGTCAAGGACAGGTTGGTCTAAGTACACATCTACCCTCTACAAGTGGGTTTTTATTTATCTATATGGGTGTTTTGTCTGCATGTAGGTCTGTACCACTAGTGTGCCTAGTGTCCACAGAGGTCAGAAAAAGGGTATTTGATTCCCTGGCCAGAGCTGCAGGCTATGAGCCACCACGTGTGTACTGAGAATCAAGAGCAGCTGGTATTATTTCTTTCTTTCTCTCTTTCTCTCTCTCTCTCTCTCTCTCTCTCTCTCTCTCTCTCTCTCTTTCTTTCTTTCTTTTTAATTAGATATTTTCTTTATTTACATTTCAAATGTTATCTCCTCTCTAGGTCTCCCCTCTGGAAACCCCCTATCCCACCCCACCCCCCACCTCCATGTGGGTGCTCACCTACCCACCTGCTCCCACCTTCCCACCCTGGCATTCCCCTACACTGGGCATCGAACCCCCACAGGACCAAGGGCCGCTCCTCCCACTGACATCCAACAAGTCCATCCTCTGACACTTACGCGGCCAGAGCCATGGGTCCCTCCATGTGTACTCTTTGGTTGGTGGTCCAATCTCCAGGAACTTCAGGGGGGTGGCCCCCCACAGAGCTGCAAACCCCTTCGGCTCCTTCAGTCCCTTCTCCAACTCCTCCATCCGGGACCCCGAGCTCAGTCCAATGGGTCAGCTGGTACTCTTAACCACCAAACCATCTTCCAGCCCCTAAATAAATAGAAATACTTGCCAGTTTCTTTTTAAAAAAGAAAGTAAATGTCTATATTTAGACATGCATGTTTAACTAGCAAGTGTGTTATGTGTGTTGTCAGAGGATAGCTTTAGGGAACTGTCTCCTGTTGTAATTATATAATCTCCTTCGGGGGTTTCTACCCTGTCTTTATCACCCAGTTCCCAGATAAAAGACACACAACTTTTATATTTATAAGCCTTTAATGCCCTAGAGCTGGGCAGATATCTACCCTCTAAGCTATTAAAATCTACCTCTTCATTAATAACTCTGAGTTATAATTTGCCATGTTCCCTCTGGGCAGCTCTTAACTCCAATTGGCCATCCCTCATGGTCACGTTTTCATGACTCAACTACCCTGTCTTCTCCTCTCCACCTTCTCTCTCCTCTTCCTGCCTCAGACCCCCAAACCCTGTCTCCCTCTCTTCCACCCAACTATAAGCTGCAGGCATCTTTATTCAGCAATCAGGGAGAACTTGGGAGGCAAGGTTCCATTTGGATAAGTGGGAATCTCCCAGTACCTGGGGGCATCCAGGGCCAGTATTTACCATTGCAGTACATAGACCAAACCTAACTGTCTCCCATCTTCTACCTTGTGACAGTCTCGTTTCTGCCATGATGCATGCTGCAAGCTGGCCAGCCAGCAAGCTTCCAGGTAGTTCTCCTGTGTGTCTGCCTCTCATCTCTCATGCTTCGGTTACAGATAAATGCCACCTACAGATGAGTGTCACCATACCCATGGTTTCTGGGGATAAAATTAGCCCACCAGGCTTACAGCAAGCACTGTTACCGCTGAGCCATCTCCTCCACACAGGTATCTTAATTTTAAATTAAATTGCAAATGTTTCTCCATTTCAAAAGAAAATCCATTGCAATGTAGTATACTGGGAAATTCTCAGGCAGAATTGCCTAGATTTAAGTATTTAAATCTGTAGTGATCAGAGGCTAGAGAGATAGCTCAATGGTTAAGAACACTGGCTGCTTTCCCGGAGATCCTGAGTTCAATCCCCAGCAAGCACATGGTGATTCATATCTGTAATGTGATCAGATGCTCTCTTTTGGCATGCAGGTGTACATGCAGATAGAACACTCATACAGACAATAAATAAACTTTGTGCCGGGCAGTGGTGGCGCACGCCTTTAATCCCAGCACTTGGGAGGCAGAGGCAGGCGGATCTCTGATTTCGAGGCCAGCCTGGTCTGCAGAGCAAGCTCCAGGCCAGCCAGGGCTGCACAGAGAAACCGGTCTCAAAAAACAAACAAAAAATTGTCTGGAAGTGGAAATGGGGTGTTCTTTTATGTAAAGGATGAAGGGTAGAGGGAGGAAATCCTTTCTGTTACAATTCTGGCCTTAAAGACCAATCTTCATATAATTTTTTAATTCTTATACAAAATTATATAACGGTACTTTATAATATATATAAATTATAAGATTATATAGTGTATAGATAGTTTCCTTTTTTTTTTTTTTTTTTGGTTTTTTCGAGACAAGGTTTCTCTGTGTAGCCCTGGCTGTCCTGGAACTCACGCTGTAGACCAGGCTAGCCTCGAACTCTCGAACTCAGAAATCCGCCTGCCTCTGCCTCCCAAGTGCTGGGATTAAAGGCGTGTGCCACCACCGCCCAGCTTGTATGTCTTCCATTTTTATACAGTATTTTTTTTTTTAGTATTTTAAGTAGTCTTCTTTCAAATTAAGGAGAAAGAAACCATGCCTAGCTGTTCTCATCCTCTCCCCACACCCTGGATGCTCACCAGTGCACACAGTGCACTTATCCTGGTAGTTTGAAGGGCACAAAAGGAAGCAGCGGTCTACTCCAGGGAGAGAGGATACAAAGGACCAGTTACCGATGACCTGTGGCCATGTCCGTGAGCAGATGGAATCTGGGCTACCTCCCTGGGTTCTGGAAATGGCTAGTCATGAATGCATCTAAGAGAATCCTGTCAAGCCGTGGTTTCTTACAGGTGCTTACAGACCAGCCTGCCAGGCGCTCCTAGTTGATACACTTAAATCTAAGTCGAAAGTCACTAAAGGAGTAGCCTGTCTATGATCTTGATTTTAACCTCCCATGAAAGGAAGCGTATGAATATTTTAGCAGAAAAGGTTTTGGAGCCTGAAAAGCAAGCAGCCACTCCAGAGGGATCCAGAAGATGTGGTTCAGTTGGCAAGCGCTGCCCAGAATACGTAAGCTCGGTGGCACACAGGTAACCTCGCATCTGAGAGGACCTGGGAAAGGGACTGGTAATACAAGGCTATTTGTTTACTTAGAGAGTTTAAGGCCGATTTGGGTTGAGACCATGAAGACCGCCCAACGAGACACTGAAACCAAGCACGAGGGCTCATATCTGCACTTTTAGCACATGGGAAGGCCAGCCTCTGCTACATACCAAGTTTGAAGTCAATTAATAGGGTGTTGTTATAACCCTGTATGAAGCCCACATAACAGGTTCGGGGAGTATAAACAAGTATCAGGATATCCATCTAGCATAAAAGTAACAAATCTAAAAGCGTACTGTGGAAGTTGGGATGAGAGGCTATTTGGATGATTTCATACTGTTAAGATGGAATTCTGAAGGCAGGGGGATACTGATTGAAACAAAAATAGTAATTAAAACTGCTCAGGCAGCACTAATTAGACTAACTGGGCTATTAACAACAGAAGAAGCTACCAAGGACGTTGTGAGGGCTCTGGGAGGGATTGGGAAAGGGTGAACAGATAGAATCTAAATACACCATGCTCACATGTGGAATTACCCAATAAAAGTACTGTTTTATTAACTCCTGCTAAAGTGTTTAAGGGAGCTACCTTTGAAAAAGCACAGGAGGGCTGGCAACTGGCTGTCAATAAAGGGCTGAGATGAAAGCATGAGGACTCGGTTCGAATCCCAGCATCCATGTAAGCTGCAGCACAGGACGGTGTGTGTCTTGTGATTGCAGAAGACAGGCAGGCAAACCCCTGGGACTTGTTGGCCAGCTAGCCCAGCCCCATCTGTGACCACCAGGACAATACAGCACGCACTGCTCTTGCAGAAGACAGGGCTAGGCTCCTTGCATGGACAGGATGTGGCACCAATGACTGGAACTCCGGTTCTAAGGATCTGATGCCCTCTTCTGGCCTCTTCAGGCACTGCATGTAGGTGGTTCAAGTCAACGTATGCACTAATACATACACATGTGGACAATATTCCAGCACATGAAGGTTTTAAAAGGTGATGAGCAATAGAGCAATTCCCAGCACCCACCTGTCTGTCTGTCTAGTTCCAGGGTTCCTGTCACCCTCACAGACACATAATCATAACTCCAATGAACATAAAATAAAAAAGAATTAAAAATGTGTAAATCTCTTGAAACGATAAACCATTTATTGTCAAATAAATAACATATGTATTCCACATCTAAACAAACATTTAAGAACTAATAATACGTAAGGATATAACCTCAGTATTAGACTGTAAATTGGGTATGAGGCTCCAGAGTTCGGCTGCCCCGGCTGAAGCACTGCCTTCTACTTAGATGCTAAGTCATGTGGGAGAAGTGTTCTTGATGCTTTACATCAACAGCAATACGGAACTGTCCTCTGGTTACACTAAAGGCACAGTTTAGGTGCTTATGTTTTCTATACTTAGACATGAGCCTTCGATCACAGGAACAGAGGAGTCATTTTAAAATGAGTTCACTTTACCCATGCTCTGATTCAGTCTTTCTGAATGGACTGGTTTCTAAACCTAGCCTAAGTGCAGGCCTGAAACTTAGGCAAGCATCAGGAACCATGGAGCTGAGGCAAGAAGGTGCTACTAAGAGCCTCAGACTTCCCAACCTGGGACAAACGGCTGCACTTGTGCCACGCGACCTACGACAAAAAGCTGGGAAAGCTGGAAAATAAGGTGTGTTCACTTGTGTGTCACTAGATGCAACTCATATCTTTTTTAAAAATACTGTGTATATGTGTCCATTTGGAGATCAGAGAACAAATTTGTGGTTCCCTCTTTCTGTGCTTCCAAGGATCAAATGTGTGTCGTTAGGCGGATGCAGCAGGCGCCTTTGCTGGCTGAGTCTTCCCTGCATCCCACAACTCACACATTTTAGAGAACTAAGGAATTTCAGAATTTCAATAACTTAAATATAAAATCCTTCACATAGTCTGTACTCTTTACATGAGATACTAAATAAATTAAATGCTCTTATTATTAATGAAGAAAACAAAGAAATCAAGTACTTCTTCTGTAGCCCCCTTTGAGGAAGGCCATCATCAATCATCTGCAAGACACGGAGATGGAGAGGACTTTTCTCTGCACAAAGTACACTTCCAAAAGTCCTTCCAAGTGAAGAGTATTAAAATAGAAGGAAAATGAAAACAACCAATGCGAATTACATTAAAACACAAATATAAAATAATCAAGTGAAATTTCCCTAAAAGAAAACATTCACTATTTTTACTCTCAAGGATAAATCACAAATAAATTTTATGTGAACTAAGTTTTCTGGCTTTAATGTATAAAAATAACACCCATGTTGTCTAATTTGGAGGTTATATAGTCAGAAATATAAAACTCTGTTTTTGCGGCCGGCAGCTAGTTGAAGTAAGTCAGCACAATCATCTGGATGGGCTGTCTGCACACCGGGCAGGGCTTATTCCTTTTCTTGAGCTTCTTTGCACACGTGAAACATGACATGAGGTGTCCGGTTTTGCCATGAACAATGCAGCCATTTTTAGGTCGCCCCTGGCAAATCACACACGGTTCGATGGCATTCACAGAGAAGCTAGACTCCATACTCTCCTCTTTGTCCTGGGTTTCTTCCTTCAACTCTTTGACACTTTCTTGGCTGCTGTAAACAATGCTGCTGGAGGTGGACGGCTGGGAAGAGTCACTCTCCTGCGACAGGGGCGTCTGCCCGACCTTCTCCTCCGTGTCCTCAGCACACGGCTCCTTAGCCTCAGTCTCGGTCAGTTTTTTGCCATCAGGCACATCTAAGCCTTCTTCTGCCTCAGCTGAGGTTTCCAGTTTGGCTTTTTCAGAGATTTCCACTTTATCTTTGCCTTTGTCTTCTGGAAGCCAGTTTTCACGGAGGGTCCAGCATCTGTTGCAGTGTGATGGCAGGGGAGGGTTCATCTCGCTGCATGAGGGACACTTCCAATAGTCCTTCAATAAAAAGACAGCAGCGCTTCAGTTAGCACTCAGAGCAAGGCTAAGAACTTCAAAATGGCTCAGGTGGAAGTATATGATTGTAGTTTAATTTTCAGCATTTCATATTTTACATAAACAGGCAAAGAACATGAGGACTATGGCTAATACTGTACACCAGACATTAGCTAACAGAGTACACGTTCCCCTACATATATACACACAAAAAAGGTGAACTATGTGAAATAAGGGGTGTTAGTTTGGGGCTGGAGAGATGGCTCAGCGGTTCCAAGCACCGACTGCCCTTCCCAGCAACCACATGGTGGCTCACAACCACCTGCAATGGGAACCGATGCCCTCTTCTGATGTGTCTGAACACAGCAACAGCGAGTATACTCATATACATGAAATAATTCTTTAAAAAGAGAGGGGGAAAAAAAAGACAGAGATGTTAAGTTTCTTTGACTACAGGCCTGAGATCAATCCCCAGCCCTGTAAAAAAACCACGCGGGGGGGGGGGCGCAAGGAACCCTAAAAAAATGATATGCTCTCAAAATGTCCTGTATCCTGTCAAGTTCTATCTGTTGTGGACACAAAAGGATCAGCTCACCCACGGAGCTGAAGCAAATGGTCCAGCATCCTCTCCTCTGTATCTGAAGTCTGTACTCAGTCCTGGACAGTGCCTAACATTATACAATAAATCTAGATGAAACCTGCTCTTCCTAGAGAATCACTTCCAACACACCAAGTGCTAGGATTCTTTAAGACATGCTCTAAAGGCCCCAGTGCAACTAAATATCCCGATCCCACCCAGAAGAGAAGTTGTACAAAATTCCTGTCAGCTACGGAACTAAAATCTACCCTTCTCACCACAATTCTGTACTCTGTCTCCCCCTTACGCCAACTTTTCGGTACACACCTGGGAAGGCAAACTCTTCCACGTCCCCGCCTCATTACAGACATATCCTATACCCCTGCATAAACTGAGGACACTTCCTAGTGTACCCTGAATAAATATATCCAGTTTTTAGTATGTTCAAGTTTAAATTCCACCCCATGAAACAAATGTAGCCACAGACCCCACTACAACAAAGAAATACTTTAAGTCATAAGAGTTTAAAAGTTTTAACAGTATGAAACTACCTCACTTGAAGAAGTAAGTTAACCATATTTTCCTAATTCTGATCTCAACATTGTTTTTTTATTTCTTTGAAGAATCTATATACTTACAGCTAAGGAAATTTCAGGATCTCCCTCAAAAGAGTCTGCATCACTTTCTCCTGCCTGATAGACTGTGACCCTGTAGACCTAATAAGACAAACGCATTAGCATCAAGTCAACCCTTCAACCAAGAAGCCTCAATTCTTAAGTCTTAAACAAATAGCTTGAGCCATTAATTGTCCACGAGAAGTTCTGAAAAAAAGTTAAACGCAGTTCAAGTCAACCAGGAAAAGGACAGAGAAATCTTTATTCACCATAACAAGAGTTGTTAAATACTTAGAACCAAACAAAATACTCAAAAAATTTTTTTTATAAATTTAGAGGCTGGGCGGTGGTGGCGCACGCCTTTAATCCCAGCACTTGGAAGGCAGAGACAGGCAGATTTCTTTGAGTTCGAGGCCAGCCTGGTCTACAGAGTTAGTTCCAGGACAGCCAGGGCTACACAGAGAAACCCTGTCTCAAAAAACAAAAAAATAAAAAAATAAAAAATAAATAAAAATAAAAAAATAAAATAAATTTAGAGTTATTAGCCAGAAAACAATGAGGAATATTAAAGGTATAGTTACTCTCAAGAAAGAGATATTCAGGTCCTATCTGACACTAACTGTTTGTTGCATGTTTTACCCTCTGGGAAAAGTACGTCAGTACTGAGAAGGGAGGGGCAGAAGCAGTGGCTCACACCTTTGATTCCAGCACTCGGAAAGCAGAAGCAAGAGGATTCCTGGGAGTTCAAGGCCAGCCTGGTCTACACAGCCAGTTCAGGGTCAGCCAGGGACACATGGTAATACTCTGTCTTAAAAACAAATAAACACATACACACACATAAATGGAAGGACCAAATGGAGAATTCTGTGGGCGAGCCATTATAATACTCATCATTACAAAGCAGTGGTAGTGTACACCTTTAATCCCAGGACTCGGGATGTGCAGGCAGAGGCAGGCAGATCTGAGGCCAGGCTGGTCTACAAAGCAAGTTCCAGGACAGCTAGAGCTACACAGAGAAATCAAGTCTCAAAAAACGAAAAAACAAAACAAAAACATCCAATCAACTCAAAAAAAGTTTAAAAACATTGTTCAAACTCTCCCAAGGTTTTTACTTAGCAATATGAGACTATATTAAATCAAGCAAAGGGCTGAAGAGATGGATCAGAGGTTAAGAGCACTGGCTATTCTTCCAAAGGTCCTCAGTTCAATTCCCAGCAACCACATGGTGGCTCATAACCATCTGTAATGAGATCTGGTGCCCTCTTCTGGCCTGCAGGCATACATGCAGGCAGAATGCTGTATACATCATAGCAAATAAATAAATCTAAATAAGTAAATAAATAAATCAAGCAAGTGAGCAAACAAGCACAGAAACTATAAAATTTCTCAAGTCCCCCACAGAGCAACAGTCTATCATGAACAAATGAAAAAGCAAGAATTTCAAGAGAATCTGAATAGATCACTTCTTCATCTTATTAAAAAGGTAACAAACACGGAAACCCACCTCATCATCCTCGTCTGAGAGCTCGTGCCCTTCGTCGCTCAGGCTGTAATCTTCTGAGTCAAGAGATTCAACTTCAAATTCTACACTAAACTGATCAGAAACGGAATCCTGATCCAGGCAATCACCAGAATGTTCACTTAGGCCGTCATCGAGATCCTAGGAGAGAACAAATGACTGTAAATGCACTGCCTCAGCGCCTCCTGAATCAGAGCTGCCTGATTCATCCGGGGCCAGGTTCACCCCTTCTCAGCCTCCTACTACATAGACCGCCACTAGGTTAAGGTGCGAGCTTATTACATTGATATTGAATTTTCACTGCTCAAAATTCTATTTCATGAAGGAAAAAAGTCAAAGGCCCTTATCCTGAGGTTACAGTCAGAATGACTGCATTACCATCTTCAAATGTCCACCTAAACACACCCTCCACCCTACTCGACACCCATGCTCCAGCCAGCTCCTGCTTCCTAAAGCAATCCACACACTAACTTTTCCTCACTGAGACAATCTGAGTTTCTGAGTCCCACTCATCCTTCTTTGACTAAGGTTCTCACAATACCATAAATCAAAGTTCCTCCACATTGAATGAGCTTTCCTGCCTGCATGATTCTATACACACCCATTAATTATATGAAGCACAACTCTGAGTCTCTCCTATTAAATACAAGAAGGTGAAGACCTCCCCTCCTCACACAGTTAGTGTGGTAGAATGCTAGTTAAGACACACAAATATAAAACTGGCATCCGGATGTAACCCTGGTTGGCTTGGCACGTGATATGTACACCATACTGGCTATTATCTCAGAGAGCTCTGCTGTCCCTGCTTCCTGAGTGCTGAGATTAAAGATTCAACTTCGCTGGGCAGTGGTGGCGCATGACTTTAATCCCAGCACTTGGGAGGCAGGTGGATTTCTGAGTTCGAAGCCAGCCGGGACTACAGAGTGAGTTGCAGGACAGCCAGGGCTACACAGAGAAACCCTGCCTCAAACCCCCCGCCCCCCCAAAAAAAAAAATTCAACTTCAAGGCCAGACATGATGGTGTATGTCTTTAATCCTAGCATTCAGGAGGCAGAGACAGGAAGATCTCTGTGAGTTCAAGACCAGTCTGGTCTACACTGTGAGTTCCAGGATAGCCAAGAACCAGGACTAAATAAGAGACCTTGTCTCAAAAAAAAAACACAAAAAAGAGAGATTCAACTTTCTAGCATACACTAAGTTGACCCACAAATGAGCTTATTTACAACTGAGAAAAACGTATTACTCTAGAACTCAGGGCTCAGGCATTCTCAATGTGCGACCAAGATGCTGCTTGAGACACATCATTCCTCCTCAAGAAAATATAGTCAGCTTGACGATGCAAGGAGTCTTAATGGTCTATACAATCAACAAAAATAAAGTGTATCATCTCAAAAAACAACTCACTAAAAACTAGTGATTTTCTCAAACTATCCTTTGACCTCACCATCTCCAAAAGACCAACTGTGGCAAACATAAACCCCTGTACACATACACAAATATGGTTTTTTTAAAATGCAATGTACAAATTGTTTTGAAAGAGTTAACTAATGTGCAAAAAAGGTATCACAGAAGTATGTTTTGTCTGTCTTTTTTGTTTCAAGATTAATTTATTTTATTTATATGAGAACACTGCAGCTGTCTTCAGACATACCAGAAAAGAGCACTGGACTCCATTACAGGTGGTTGCTGGGAATTGAACTCAGGACCTCTGGAAGAGCAGTTATTGCTCTTAATCGCTGAGCTATCTCTCCAGCTCTGTCTTATTAAATGTAATAATTAGTTGTAGGGACCTTTAACAAATTATTTGAAATGTTATAAGGCATAGTGTTCCCTGTAAATAGAGGGTAAAACTACTGAGACTAATGTTCTTTCTTGTAAGTTAAAACAAAAGATCTGGAGAGATGGCTCAGCGGGTAAGAGCACACACTGTTCTTCCAGAGGTCCTGAGTTCAATTCCCAGCAACCACATGGTGGCTCACAACCATCTATAATGGGATCTGATGCCCTCTTTTAGTGTATCTGAAGACAGCTACAATGTACTCACATACATAAAAAATAAAAATAAAATCTTTGAAGCATAGTTGTATTAAAAGCATTTTCACTTAAAAATTAAGTTTAAAAAGGAACAAATGTTTAATATGGAAGATTTTTAGAAGAGTATATATACAACTACAGAAAAAAAATTCTATTTTGATAGCAGGTCATGTTCTGAGTACATAGCAAGAACACAGATTCTATTAAATTAGGTAGAACACACACAGAGCTGTCGGTTGGCTGGCTGGTTGGTTGGTTGGTTGGTTGGTTGGTTGGTTGGTTGATTGATTGGTTGTTTGGGGATGCAATTAACTGGTAGAACATTTATTTGCCTAGCATGCAGAGAGCCCTGGATTCAATCTCCAGTACTAAAAAATAAGGCAGAGAGAGGACAGTAAATCCATTTTTAAAAGCCATCTGTAATGAATAAAATTAACCTAGCTAAATTTACATATCCATCAAACTTTCACTAGATCCAATCCCGGGCCACACACAATCACCGTAGGTAGCACTGTAGTTTTTCCTAACACTTATTAAATGCCCTCATTATTTAATTGCTGGTGGTTGGCTGCACAGGAATCACATCTACATGACCACACCTAACAGAGACAGGACTTAATACCAGCTACATATACACAACAGTTTGCTCTCGTGAGCCATCTAACGAATGACAGCAGCACTCTTCTGTTCAATACTCTGCAGGGCCCCTCTCAGCACTCACTGCTTAGGGAAGAAAAGCATACGTGATACAAGAACAAACAAAACAGGCTTCCTATCACAATAGGTTCGGTAGTCTTTATTTTTTAAAGAACTATTAAAAACCTATTCAAACTAGCTAGCTTTCTCAGTGCTGGAAGGTGATGTGCAGGCTGCTGGTGAAAAGCCATCGACAGTTTTACAAAGTTGTAAGCTCCTATATAACAACTGGCCTGGCTAATCACGCCTACAGTATTACAGTGGCACAGCTGTTCCAGGAATAACCAACTGCTGATGGAATTTAGGGGCCAGTCAACAGAGGGGACACATGCTTGGAAACCTTGCCCAACAGCTGTCGCTAGGAGGGACAGTCCCAGGAGGGAACTTACTGTTATCATTTTTCTAAATGACACAGTAGCAAACTAATTACTAATTATCTCCATCCCCACAGGTGATGCAGCTCCTGACCCTTGTTTAAAGAAACTTCTTTTTGAAGTAGATGGTGGCTAACACAGACTCTCAACTGGTCCAAGTGTAAAAACTGAGTTAACTATGGAGTATAGTTATAGCCCAAACAGTACATGTGTGTAAAACACACACACACAGCTTAGAGAACATACAGGAAGAAGGGGCAGAAAGACTGTGAGTCAAAGGTTGTGGGGTGTGCTATGAAACTCTTCTGGACTTGACACACTCCATGCACCCATGAATTGCAGTAACTGTGGATGTCAGTGAAAGATCAAAAGCCAGTCAACAATCCAGCGTGGGTGTGTGGGCGCTTACACTGCCTAGCCCCTAGCTGAGGAGGTGGTGCTTTTTCTTCAGAGGTGAGGCTCCCATGGATGACCCTAACAAATGCATATTCATGTACATATATATGACTGAACAAGTTGTATCCAAAGGATCTGGGAAAAAAAGCAAGACAGCTGAGGGTAAATACAGCTAACATACACCATATATACATATGAAAACTCACAGAAATTAAAAAATTAAAGAAAAATTTGGGGATGGAGACATACACACACTCGTACATATGCATACATTTCTTTAAAAACAAACTAGAGAACAGTTCAGCTGTTAACAAACATCTATCACTCTTCGGTTCCCATCACCCACTCTGGCTGGCTTACAATAAATGTAGGGGGATGTGAAGTCCTCCTCAGGACTCTTGAGGGCAGCTACACTACACTCACTTGTGCACATACTCAAACGCAGAATTAAAAGATCTTTAAGAACATGAAAGTACCAATCTCCAGAACAGTGACCATGAGACACTGTCATATAGCTAGTGTGGCAGTGACTGCTTGGTCCCCAGTGGGTGGCACTGCTGGAGGTTTAGGAGGAGCACCCTTATGCTAGTACATCACTGAGGGAGAGCACGGAGATTTAAAAAGCCTTTCTAATCTCCACTTTAGTCTTTCTGCTTCATGCTTGAAGTTAAGGATCCAAGTTCTTAGCTTCCTGCTTTGAAAACCAACCTTCTGCCATGCCTCCCAACATAATGGACCCTTAGCACTCTGGAATGTTAGCCAAAGTGAGCTCCCTCTTAGGTAAGTTGCCTTGGTCACAGCAAACAAAAAGAAACTAAAACACCAAGGCTACAGTTATTTTGGTAGTTGGTTTTGTTTGTTTTCAGTATTTTAAACAGAAGTCTGCCTAACATGTTAAAAGGCAGGAGGTTAGGATCATAGTTCACTGTCCAGTGTCACATAAAAATCAAACAAACAAAATCACCCTTTACATTTTTTTCTTTGTTTTTATTTGTATGTGTATAGATGTTGTGGTGGTTTGAATATGCTTAGCCCGTGGAAGTGGCAATATTAGGAGGTGTGGTCTTGTTGGAATAGGTGTGGCTCCAAGTGTTCTTAACCACTGAGCCATCTATCCAGTCCCCATAAAAACACAACCCTTTCATTATAGCCCAGCTTTCAACAAATAGATTGGCATGCTCTCAATTTATTATCTGTCATATATAGATATGTTATATGTGCATACACACACACACACAGTTAATATGTCATACATAGATCTAGAAATCAGAGGCCTGTTTACTAATTAGCTCTGTGCAATGTAGGTTTACAGAATGAATACCACCACTGTCTTTACTGATACAGAATTCCAAACTCAGGTAAACCTCAGTGTTTGAAAGGAGTCTTTAGCAAGCACATGCCTTTCATTCCAAAACTTGGGAGGCAGAGAGAGAGGCAGATCTCTAAGGTTCAATGTGAGTTTCCATACAAAGTTCTAGGCCAGCCAGCATTATACAGTGTACCCGTCTTTAAACACTCCAGGGCTGGGGTAGAGTGGGGTACAGCGCTTGCCTAGCACATATGAACTGGATTTCATTTTTGGCAAGAAATCAAACAAGTAAATGATCCAAACAAACTTGCTTTATATTTCTGTGGTATGTAATTGAGCTAGATTTCCAGTTACCTTCTGTTACTTCTAAATGTTCAACTTACCTTACAGTACAACCTGAGCTACTAGTACCGTGGTCCACAAGGCGTCTCCAGTGTAAGGGATGACGTCAGCACTGATGGACTGTGTTAACTTGACCAGGAGCAGAGCTCCTCTACTCTACCATCTTACCTAGCCCGGGACTGGACTTGAGAAGAAAATGTACCACTGTGTTCAGCAACAATCTCACATCAAACACAGACATTTTATTTATAGGCTTATTAGGATTGTAGGGACTAGGGTTTTTTGTTTTTTGGTTTTTCGAGACAGGGTTTCTCTGTGTAGTTCTGGCTGTCCTGGAACTCACTCTGTAGACCAGGCTGGCCTCGAACTCAGAAATCCGCCTGCCTCTGCCTCCCAAGTGCTGGGATTGAAGGCGTGCGCCACCACCGCCCGGCTGGGGTTTTTTTGTTCTTAAAGACTTGTTTTATTTAAAACCAGAATGCAAGACTTTAGATGGTTTGCTGCTCTTGGAGAGGACGCAGGTTCCATTTCCGATACCCACAGAGTGGCTTACGACCATCCCTAACTCCAGTGCCAGGGGACTCCACACCGTCCCCTGGCCTCCACTGGCATGCATGCACACATGTGCTCTACACTCTGGCAGGCAGGCAGGCAGGCAGGCAGGAGAGTCACATATTAAGGCAAACAGTCTCCTCTTAACTACCTGTGGCGAGGCGGCCTCGTTGGACTTGCTGCAGGACACATACATATTAAGGCAAACAGTCTTCTCTTAACTACCTGCGGCGACGTGGCCTCCGTGGACTCACTGCAGGATACATACATATTAAGGCAAACAGTCTTCTCTTAACTACCTGCGGCGAGGTGGCCTCGTTGGACTCGCTGCTGCTGCTACTGCTGCTGCTGCTGCTGTGCTCACAGCAGATCTCCCTCAGCACACACAGGCCCAGGCTCTCATCAAAGGACAGGGATCTGTGGCGCTTCCTCTGTCGCTCACCAGGCAGCTCATCTGTGTTCTCTTCTATGTATTAAGGAAAACGGGTAGTTAAAACTCCCTGTTCTGTGACTGATTTAGAAGTTGAAATATCTTTAGCACCTATTTGCAACAAAATTTAATTTCAATTACATTAAACAGAAAACTCAGTCATTAATGTTTCAAAAGTCAGCAGTGTTTCACTGGATTTGTGCAATTAAGTACAAGCTCTACTTATAAGCTTGCAACTGTCTTTGTGAACTTTACCTCCACAAGTTAGGAAAGTTTAATCCATCTAGAGCTTTCACTGATCCAACAGTATATAATTTTCCTGTCAACAGTAAGCTTTAAAAATAAGATATACAAGACTGGCCTAATCTATATAGAAGCCCTGTCTCCCTAAAAACAAAAACAATACTGAAAATGAGACGACTAATTTTTATCAGGATTCCAGTGCAGTGGCTCTCAGCCTTCCTGATGCTGTGACCTTTAACACAGTTCCTCATGGCGCTGACTCCCACCGTAAAACTATTTTCATTACTATTCCATAATCATCATTTTGCCAATGTGATGAATCCTAACGTAAATATCTGGTTTTCGGTGGTCTTAGGAGACCCTGTCAAAGGGTCATTTGAGCCTAAAGGGGTCACTTCACTACCCACAGGTGGAGAACTGCTGCACTAGAGGAAAGACGACAAGCACCCGGTCAGTATGCCGGGTGTATCAATGTCCCTATGTACCTGTCTCGCTAATTGCTCTCCTTCTAGATGAGGTAGATGGTCTAGAAACTAAGTCAGAAGATGAAGGGTTCTCTTCTTGTGGCGCTTGCACAGGGTCCTAAATACATAAGAAAAAGTAAAATATTGCAAAGTAAACATAAAACATTGGCTGTTACAAATTCTGTTTTATATAATCCTCCCAGTTTTCAAGAACTATTTGTCATGTAGCTGGAGAGGTGGCTGGCCAGGGTGAGTTCTGTTCCCATCACCTGTAACTCCCACTTTGACACCCACTTTGGCTGGAGGATGTACACACACACCCATACTCACAGACCACACACACACACACACACACAGAGAGAGAAAGAACTGTATGTAAGTATTACCTTCAGGTCACTCCCACCTTCAGGCTGGCATCTGCTCTCACTCATCGATGGGCCAGAGTCTGAAGATTGTAAGAGAAAGTAAAGACTGAATCAAAACGAAGAAAGCAAGAATTCAACACACGCCACTCTAACACACGCCCTGGACAAAACTTAACCTTCAACAAATATGAACTGTTTGTGTCACTTGCATGCTGGACATATAATAAATTCAACAGGATTATTTTGTAAAATAATCAAATAAGCAAATGTTAAGATCTATTAGCAGAGGAAACAAGAGGGTTGTTAGTAGGCGTGGGGGAAGGGCTCTGAAGAACCGTCTGTACTATAAATAACAAACGGACGGAGGGAGTCTGTAACAGCCCATGCTGGAGCTGGTGTATGAGGCACGGCAGACTGGAGGAGAAGCATGTGAGACAGCACGCAGACACACACAGTTCCTGTGGCACACACTGAAATGATTCATTTGTACTAAAACTGTAAAATGCAGGGTCACTGTGCAGAGCCGTGCATGTTCAGCCTAATAGCATGAAAGGCTCTCACCAGTTATTCAAGCAGTTATACAATCTTGCCTGAGGCTATCTTGCAACCTCTCACCATTAAAATGGTTTTAGTTCAAGAAGAAAGCTAATTTCCTAGCTCACAGAACTGTTCTCCCCAGGGAGCAATCATAAAATTCCTAAGTAAAAAGCAGCAAACTACTGCGACAACATAGAACTTAAAAAACAAACACAGTAACAAAAACCACAGAAACAAACAACAACAAAACCCCACTCAGTACGGTGATTTACACCAATCATCTCCAGCAGGCTTAGATAGGAGGATTACAAATCCCAGGCCAGCCTGGGCAACTCAGTGAGACTATCAGAGGGAAAGCAAAGGGCTGCAGTGATTCAGGGGAGGAGGGCTCAGTTAGCATGTGGGAGGCCCTGTCCATATGGGGAACAAACAGCAGAATAGAGAGGAAGCAAACAGCATGTGAACACAAACAAAACAGCATTAAAGCACTGGGGGTGGGACAGCTCGGCCAGGGGAGTGGTGCTGTTAGGAGGTGTGGCCTTGTTGTAGTGGGTGGAGCCTGGTTGGAGGAAGTGTGTCATTTGTGTCACTTCTGTCACTAGGCTCTGAGGCTCCTTTGCTCAGGCTCCGCCCAGTGTGGAGGAAGCTTGCCTCCTGCTCGACTTCTTTTTTTTTTTTTTTTTGTTTTTTGGAGACAGGGTTTCTCTGTGTAGCCCTGGCTGTCCTGGACTCACTATGGAGACCAGGCTGGCCTCGAACTCAGAAATCCTCCTGCCTCTGCCTCCCAAGTGCTGGGATTAAAGGTGTGCGCCACCACTGCCCGGCTCCTGCTCGACTTCTAAAGCCAGTTCCCACCCTGAGGATATAGAACTCAGTTCCTCCTGCACCATATCTGCCTGCATACTGCCATGCTTCCTGCCTTGAGGACAATGGACTTATCCTCTCAAGTATAAGCCAGCCTCAATTAAATGGTTTTTCTTTGTAAGAGTTGCCTTGGTCATGGTGTCTCTTCACACAGTGGAAACCCTAACTACGACAATCAACTTGAGAAAAATTAAGACATAAAAACTGGTTAAGGCCAGGTGTTTGGGGCTGGAGAGATGGCTCAGTGGTTAAGAGCACTGACCGCTCTTCCAGAGGTCCTGAGTTCAATTCCCAGCAACCACATGGTGGCTCACAACCATCTGTAATGGGATCCAATGCCCTCTTCTGGTATGTCTGAAGACAGCGACAGTGTACTCATATACATAAAATTAATTTAAAAAGAAAAGACCAGGTGTTTGTAAGGAAAAGGAAATGTTAAAATAAGAGGATCCCAAGTGTCTAGATCAAAGAATCTAGATGAAAAATGTGTGGTACCACTCAACAAGAGGACTATGAGAAGGTGAAAGATTTAGCTTGGAAAAAATAATGAATTTAAATGAGTTATGCAGATAGACAGGTGTAGTTTATACTTAGTTTTACAGACCAAGCTCTCAAAACATCCAAGTTCCAGAACTAGAATGGACAAAATTACTCCAAACTCATAATCAATACCCTCCACCACCACCCTAAAGCACATCCATCAACCGCGAAGTCACGGCTGAGCACTGACTGAACACCCTGAACAATGAGTGACCACAGTTAACTGTCTTGTAGTATGGCATTATACGAATTTTAAATTGAATATGTAGACAAGTTATATTATCTGGGAACTCTGTCTTAGGGTAATAGTTATAAAACAGATGTAATAAAGTAACAGGTGTGACAAGGCTGACAAGACTCATCTATAATTTTCAAAATTACTTTAAGCACAAAACCAAGAGAAAATGTCAGTAATCTACAGGTTAGCCTTTAATTCTTTTAATAATCTGTCAAAATTTATTAAGTGAATAACTATTAGATACTTGAGAAAATTCAAAATACTATCAGATTCTGTAACTATGTATTGTGCCATCTGACATCAGAAGGAGCCTTAGCAGGTCCCAGTAATCTCAGCATCATGAGACAGAAAACCACAGGTTCCCAAACTAATCATTACTTTGTTCTTTGTTTAGGGAAGATCCTGGTGCCTTTGACATAACACAGTGACTCCTGAATATGGAATCAAATAGTGGGATGACAAGAGAGTGGCTGATTCAGTCTAGAAACCAAGCTTCCAAACACAGTGTTTACGTTTAAGGATAACTGAAAAGTTTACGGTATTTCAGAGCCCACACCTACTAGCACACTCAAATACAACTACTACCAGATACGGTGGTATGTAAGCCTGGAAGGCAGAGGCAGGTGGATGGATTTCTGGGAGTTCAAGGTCTGCCTGCTCTACATAGTGAGTTCTAGCCCAACCATTGCTGCATAGTGAGAGCTTGTCTTTAAAAAGAAAAGAGAAACTCTTTCTTAAAAAAACAAAAAACTATCAAAACACTATCCACATGTGTACACTTACAGAATGAAAATCAAGTAGCTTTACTAGATTCTCAAAAAGTCTGCATCCCAAAATTACGAATGACGTCAGTCTAGGTGAAAGTCTTGTGAGCCACACTTGAGGATCTGTGCTCACGTCACTAAAAAAGAACTGCCAGGTAGAGAGGTAAAGCAGTGCTTACCTAAACGTGCTGAGTCCACTCAAGAAACAAGAGAAAGAATAGGAAGAGGGGCAAGAAAAGAGAAGAGATGAAAGCCCACTCCTTCAAGGTCCTGCACCTGGGAAATTATATTCCTTCCAGAAACATCTCATGCATTTCAAGGTTTGATCATGCTTCTACCAAGCCACTTTTAACATTATCTGTCCTTCAGAAGAAAGCCTGATAACGCAAGGTCTTGACAGAGATAACAGGACATTCAATTTTGACTTCCCGGGCACATCATGGCCTAAGAATGTTCATAAACATGGGTACATGCATTTTCTTTGACTCTTAAGGAGTGTCGTGGGGCTGGCGAGCTGACTCAGTGATAAGAGCACACACTGCAGATCTAAGTCCAGTTCCCAGCTGTTACAGCTCCAAACCACCGTAACCCCAGCCCTAGGGAAGCTAACACTTCTGTGGACACTTACACTCATGTGAACATACCCACATAAAGAGACGAACACATAATTAAAACTTTTCTCTTTTTTGAGACAGGGTCTCATTATGTAAACTTGGCTGGACAAGCCCATCTGCCTCTGCCTCCCAACTGCTGAGATTAAAGGCATGTGTGACCATATCAGGCCCTATAATTAAATTTCTGTTTCCAAAGACGGGCTGCAGAGGTGACTCGAGTGCTTAAGAGCACTGGACGTTCTTCTGGAGGTGGCAGCTCACTCACACTAGTCTAACTCCAGTCCTCGGAGACTCAATGCTCTTCTTCTGACCTTGCTGGGCACTGCACACACGTGGTGCACATACATGTCCACATACATGCATATATGCATACAGACAGACAGGAAAAACACCCATACAAATAAAATGAAAGAAGTCACTTTAATTTTTAAAGATAAAATGAGATGACTCAAAGGCTGGCTGGGACAGCTAACTAGTGCAGTATTTTCTAAAGCGAGGGTGAGCTTGAGTTCAACTCCAGCAGTGCTGAATGAAGAATGAACAAATGCCAGCTCCTGGGGACGGGATGGGGGACGGGACAGGGGAGGTGGGGGAAGGACTGGGTTCCAAAGGAGCCTGGATAACTTACAGGGATCCCATCTCAAAACAACAACAAAGCGAGGCTGGAAACACAGCTCCAAGGTTAGAGCCCTGGCTGCTCGCCAGAGGCTCTGGCTTCAATTCCCAGCACTTGCACAACATTCACAACGGTCTCTAACAAGCTCTAGGACACCTGATGGCCTCTTCTGTCCTCCCAAGGCACTACACACATATGGGGCACAGGCACACATACAGCCAAAACACTAATACACCCAAAAATAATTACAAAAATAAAAAAATTGGTGGGCAAAGAGCTAATTAAAGAATAATACAGAGAGCCAGAAACAGACCCAAGATGAAAGCAGCACATGTAATGATGTGTGGTCTGCCTTCTATTTCACAGTGCTAAGGATTAAAGGCAGCACTGCACACATGCTAGGAACGCACCCCACCTCCAAGTACACATCCAAGTCTCTAACACATTGTTAGGGGACTGGCAAGATGGTTCAGGACGTCAAAGTGCCTGCCATGCCAGCCTAAAGATCTGAGCTGGACACCAGAACCCATGCAAAAGGTAGAACTAGTTCCACCAAATTGTGTTCTAACTTCCACATGTACACCATGGTATCTGTGTCCCGCCCACAGAAACACATATATACATACACAAAAAGCTACTCAAAGTTTTGTTGTTGTTTTTTTAAAGCTCAAGGATCCTTAGCTACATAGTGAGTTTGAGGTTAGACTAGGATACATAAGACTTTGTATCAAAAAGAACTGTTTTTAAGTTATAGTATGTTTATAATATACAAAATCAACTTACCTTGCTGACTTACAACCACTAAGTTTCTGTAGATCATTGCATATATTTTCCTTGTGAGAAAAAAACAACTGTAAGTAGAGAACCTACAGCGGAGAGATGTTAGGTCCACTCACACGCCCACACACTAATGACAGGGCTTGTCTCAGGCCAAGCCTGCTCACCGGAGCCCAGTCCCCAGCACCACATGGTGGGAGAGGCCTGGCTCCTGAGTGCGCTCTTCTCACCTCCACACTCAGTGGCATGTGCACTTGCACACACACAATTAAAAACCACACACACATAAAACTCCAGCAATAGAAAGGCTAAGATTGTGGAGTTCAGGCTCCCACATACTATGCTACAATCAGGGCCAGTACTGTTAATAGCAGTAAGGCCCCAAAATGAAATCCAATTTTACCATTTTGTATATATGGTCCCAGTTTATCTCTGACAGAGGTGAGATGCAAGGATTGCCCAGCTGGTGCTTTTTTTTTTTTTTTTGAGATGTATTTTTTTATATGCATTGGTGTTTACCTGCATGCACGTCTGTGTGAGGGTACCAGATCCTAGAGAGCTGGCATTACTGACAGTTGTGAGCTGCCATGTGGGTGCTGGGGATTGACTCCGGGTCCTCGGAAGAGCAGCCACTGCCCTTCCCCACCCAGCATCTCTCCCGCCCCACGCACAGCTGCTGTTTTATAACCGACCCCGCAGAGGCTTACCTGTGCTCCTTCACAGAGAAACTTGGGACGCCAAACACATCTCCTAGGAGATCATTTGAGCAGTACACAATATGCTGCTGCTTCTCGTCATACAATCTTTTAGTCATAATATACTGGCCAATATAAAATATAATCTGGAATAGAAACACAGTTTCTAAGCATTAAAGGAATTACATATCAGTTTCATATACATTTAGCAATACCACACTTATCTGAACAAGACTTCCCTAACAACCACGTCCACAACCACGTACAAGACACACATTTTGGGGCTGGAGAGATGACTCAGGGGTTAAGAGTATCAACAGCTCTTCCAGAGGTCCTGAGTTCAATTCCCAGCAACCACATGGTGGCTCACAACCATCTGTAATGGGGTCTGGCGCCCCCTTCTGGTATGTCTGAAGAGAGCAATGGTGGTGTACTTATATGCATAAAATTAATAAATAAATCTTTAAAAAAAAAAGACACACATTTTTTATTGTAGAAGCTTCTTTTAAATACTTCCAAGTTGATGAAAATAGAAATAACTGTTTCTCCACATTACTTAAATGTATTCCCTGTTTTTCTTCTTTTTCTTATAAACTTTAATTCTGCCAAGAAACCTAGATACTAACATATACTAGGAAAAGAAAAAGAGGTAAAAATGCAAAAAACTGAAAAAAAATCAAGTAAAATACAGCAATGAATTATAAGAGTGACATGTCACAAATATACTTTAACAGCTCCAAGGTCATCACAGAGGAGACAGGACATCATCATCGACACCTCCCAATGGAACAGTCTCAGTTATTAATGTAGTCTATACCAAACAGCCCATGGCGGAACCATCACTATTAAGTTAAATTATATTTCAAGTGCTCCATTATGTCAGCTTAAGAAACATACTTTGTTATTCCAAAACAAGCCCATCAACAAAATAAATCTATCCAGCATTTTACAGTGCACAGTGCACTTCTGTCAGTACAGTCTCATCATCCTGACAGCCCACAAAATTGTTATTACTGTATGAAAGTAAGTTCACAAGTGTCATTCCGTAGTAAAATCTGCTTCCTAGGTCTGACACCCAGCACCACAGGAAAAGGAATATACAAAAAGATGAGAACCTCACCCAGGACCTGACCCTCTCCCAGCACACTGTCCGCCACACTGGTAGCCCGCATGAGCATTCCAGCACGGTTGTACAAGTTCCAATCTGGGATGCAGGGATACTCAAGAAGTCCTTGGATAAAACTGAAGAAAGCCAGTAACTTGGATGGGGGAAAATTATCTTCATTTCACTAAATCTGAACTGGTTGGTTTTCTCAATTATGAATATAGGCAACAAACTCTTAACATTTGTAGTGCCTTCTGATGTTGTAACTACTAGACATCAAAATGCTTTTCTACTACACTCTGCCTGAAATAAACACATCAATATAATTCTGAGACTATCAGCCTGCCAAATAAATTCACAACACAAAAACGCCAAGAACTCTAACTGGGTTCCTAGTTAAGAAATGAAACAAAATGCTAGGTGTGCACATGCCTTTAATCCCTGTACTCAGGAGGCAGAAGTAGGTAATCTCTCTGAGTTTGAGGCCAGCCTGGTCTACATAGTGAGTTCCAGGACAGCCAGGGCTATATAGTAAGACCTTGTCTCAAAAAAAGAAAAGAAGGAAGGAGGAAGGAAGGGAGGGAGGGAGGGAGGGAGGGAGGGAGGGAGGGAGGGAGGGAGGGACAGAGAGAGGAAGGGAAAAAGGGAAGGAGGGAAAGAAAGAGGGAAAAAGGGAGAGAGGGAGGGAGGGAAAAGGGAGGGAGAAATTCATGTAAGTTAGGATTTTTAGCTTCAAAACATAGTTCAAATGTCACAAAAATTTAATGTCCTTGCTTATTACAAAATCTCTGATCAATCTCACTCACAAACTTGAGAAACACCCACAATGCCTCTGTGTCACCATGAAGACATCAGCCCTCCACTCCTCAGTTCTGCTCACCTCCTTCATAGTGTAAGTATCTTTTTGTGCTCCAACAGACTTCAACAACTTCAAAAGCAATGGTTTGGGTCTAACCTGTAAAAGAAAAAACAGAGCTGATGTTACACCCATGATCGTCCTCTACAGCACAAGCCCGTTAGGTATGGCCAGAAAGAAGCCCACTATAGGCAGCAAATGCCGTGTTTAACAATGTTACCAAGCTGTACCTCAAATAATTGGGTTTTATACTAAGTACAAGTGCACATCACTAAGAGTTAGGACAGAAAATGTTTTGGGAAAAGCTATTATGAAATTATCATGAAGTTATCAAATCTTTGATGCCATGTCAAATAATCAAATACAATTTGTTGTGATCAAAACACTACCAAGAGGCTGGAGAGATGGCTGAGAGATTAAAAGCACTTGCTGCTTTTGAGGGGACCCAAGTCCAGATTCCAAGGGCCCCCAGAAGGCAGCTCCCAACTGCCTGAAACTGCAGTTCATTCTAGGCAATCCAACACCCACTCTGGCCTCTGCTGGAACTGCACACGCACAGGGAAGTCAGGGGCATGAGCACTGTCTTCTTCCTCCAGCTCTGCCAGCTGCTTCCGACCACACAGTCTGCTCACTGTACTGTATAAACCTGGGAGTCAGTTACTGAAAGGGAACTTCCAGAATGCAGGAGAAAACAATCTATCATAGGACAAAGCCTATCACCAATCTATCACATTGCTGACTGCTGGAGAACGAACCCAAGTCCCAAGGTAGTTCAAAGAGTACAATCGCAGCCCGCATCTACAACTCATTATTTTCTTTGTATGTGGTTATGCCTCCAACACCATTTATAATCATTTATATATCACTTATAATACACTCAAAAAGGCTAGGTACAGTCATATACACAGACACACAAAACACACGCCCAAATGATCCTTAAAGAGCATGCCAGTAAGATCAGAAGAGCCAGAAGGTGTTTTTCCCATGTCTAGCCAACTTAAAAACAAAGTACTACATAAACTACAGGAGTAAATATGTAACAATAAACTCTATTTGTAACAACAGGTAGCCAGCTACAGTTTGTCTGACTCTCCTCTAGCTTTCCCAGTAGTGAGGTAACAGTTGCTGAGGCTGGAGCTCAGGTTAAGAGCACCTGCTGCTCTTGTAGAGACCCTGAATTTAGTTCTCAGAACCCATAGACCAAAACCACCTGGGACTCTGGTCCCAAGGGATCTGACACCCTCTTCTGGCTTCTAGACACCCACATGGTACACATATACACATGCAGGCAAAACACTCATATACATAAGAAATGAACCCTTAAAAAAATAAAAATTGAACAACTGTCACCTAACTAGCAAGCTGTCACCCACAAAGCCACTAGTGAGCCCAGCTTGGCAGCCAGTACAGCCAGTACCAAGGAGCACATGATAAAGTGTCACTAAACTTGCTATAGCCACCTAAGTCTGAAATCAAAGTTTATGACCATCAGCCATAAATCCTCTTAAAGACGGCCCTGCACCTCACAGCTGTGATGATCACCGCTCCTATCACTTGCGTTCACTAACTACGGGATGCCCAATAAGGACAGCCTTTTGGTTTTGTTTTATGCATACGGATGTTCTGCCTGCATGTACTTCTATGCACCACTTCTCCCTGGTCCCCAGGGAGGCTACAACAGAGAGTTAGACCCCCTGGAACTGGAGTTACAGATGGCTAGGAGCCCCCGTGCAGGTACTGAGACTGGAAGTCAGGTCCTCTGAGGAGTAGTCATGCTCCTAGCTGTCTCTATCAGGACAGTTATTTTGTATGGCTCTACTGTTGCGATGGTTGTAGTTCACAAGGTGCTAGCCCTTTGTCTACACGGATAGAATGTGGCCTCATGACAGTGAGGACACACTGGCCTAACGCTACCTTCCCATGGCATTTAGTTCACTTTTAAAATACCATTAAGTGCTTCAAGGACAGTAAGTACACGGAGCTGACGAAGCTGAACAATGTTTGGAGAGCCGGGACGGATGGCATGTAACATGACTATGCTCTGTCTGCAAAACTCCACAGTTTTAGTTTGACACCACCACACAACACAAACCATCATCTTTATGGGTTTTTTGGGGTTTTTTTTTTTGGTATTTTGAAGACTTTTATTTATTATTTTATGTATTTCACCTGCATGTATATAAGTGCACCATGTGCAAACAGTACCCTTGGAGGCTAAAAGACGCCACTGGATCCTCTCCATCTAGAGTGACAAGAGGGCTGAGCCACCTTACCCATTCTGGGAATCAAACCTGGGTCCTCGGTAAGAACAGCAAATGCACTTAACTGCTGAGCCCTCTCTCCAGTCCCAATTTTTTTTTCTTTTTTTTAAAGACTACTTTTAGGACAATTTTAAAATGCATTTTTAAAAGTTATTTATTCCTGAAGAGCACACAAACTGGCTATCCAATACCAAATGGTCAGCTCTGAAAACATACATACAAATGACATTATTCAGACTAAGTAGTTGTATCTAGGAATGTAACATGCATTAGGCATGTAGCAACTAATGAAAGAGAGAAATGCGTATATTGGAGGCTTTGTAGGAAGGAAAAAGAAGAAACTGTATAATTTCAAAAATGAAGAGAAAAGTTGTAAAGGCGTTGTTACTTATGTAGGAGTGCTCTGTCTGTACAGACACCTGCACACCAGAAGAGAGAGGGCATGAGATGGTTGTGAGCCACCACGTGGCTGCTGGGAATTGAACTCAAGACCTCTGGGAGAGCAGTCAGTGCTCTTAACCTCTGACCCATCTCTCCAGCCTATAGAAATCAGTTTTAAAAAAGAAATGGAAACCAAAAAATGGTGTTATGAACCATATTTTCAGATTAAGTCATCCACTCTAAGATTTGAAAATCACTATTTAATCTTTAATTTCTTCATGTAACCTATACAGAAGTCATACTAGTCTTCTTCTTAGTGTATCAATTTTAGCCTAAGGACTACCCAAGCAAGAAGTTCTAAATTTTTACGTATTAACTCAAATCAAAACTCTACAATGGAAAGCCAGTTTCTTATCAAAGCTTACAAGATAAAGAGCTGGTTTTAAAAGCTACTGTAAAAAGACAACACTTTGTAATCTCATACTTAACAAAGACCAGTTATGAGTAAAGATCTACATGGAAAAGTTTTTTAAAATGCTACATGAAAATACTTTAAATATGTGCATAATCTTGAAATGGAAGGATTCCTCCAAAGCATTATAAGAAAATTAAAAAATTATCAAAATAAGCAAATTGACTATAATTCCTCAGTGAGGAAGACATCGAGTTATAGGACTGGTAATAAAAAAAAAAACTCTTAGGTTAGGATACGTGAAAGAGAATTATGCAAGCTACTAAAACCACGTGAAAGAATGAGGGGAGGAAAGCAAGAGGGAGAGCAGAGACAGACAGACAGACACCGGGCAAACCCAGAACAGACAGTCTGCGTCTCTTGTGTCCACTGAAACAACAGTACAACACAGCTCACCCCACAGAGCAGGAACGGTGAGAACCGACTTACAGTTTTACAACATTTTATAAAGAATTAGGTGTGAAGATTTCTAACAGAGAAATGCTAAACGTTTAAAGAAATGGAAAACTACTTAACTTGCATACATGTGTTCTTCACAAATACGTACAAATATCAAAAAGGAAAAGAGGCGGCTGGTAACCCTCGGGCTGGCAGGAGTGGAGACTGCCACAACCTTGCTGAGCAGAATTAGCAGTCTGCCCTCAAATGTGCTTACTCACAACTTAGGCTTCTATCTCCCTAGCTTCCGTACAGAATAGCCACACCCTTATTTAAAAACATGGGCAACTTTTACATCTACCAGTGGTCATGAGCCTAAGAACGTAGCTCGGCTCAGCGGTACAGTACTTGCACACACACACACCAAGGCTGAGGGTCAATCATATTATCAAATCCTATGCAGCTATTAAGAGTAATTTTGTAATTTACTGACAAGCTGTAGAACACCTCTATATGCTATATGCTTTAAAGTAAAAAACGTAAGAGATACAGAGCAAAGACTGGAACTTTACATATTTTATGCTTTCCTCTAATAACTAAAATCTTCACAAAAAGCACGAATTCTTCATGGCTTTCGGATTACCATGTAGAAAGTTAAACATCGGTAGAACATCATGTCACAAATGGCAGCATTCACACAATGTGACCTCCTTTCTAAAGCCTGCGTCAGGTAAAGGACTATGGAAACGAAGATCTAAGTGACCACTCTCGAACACAATTACAACCGACAAAGTTAAAGAGTTTGTACGGAAATGCGTAAAGGACTGTGTGATGATTCAGGTTTAAATTTTGTTTCCTCGATTACCTGGTTAAAAACAAGCTTTTTTTTTTTTTTTTAAAAACACACTCAAGACAGAAATACCAACCAGAGTCTCTTGTTCCGAAGCTGGAATCTGTGAGGTGCCTGCAGCACCCTCGGCAGACACAGACATGTTGGTATTGCACATTAGCCTACAAACAGAAAAGAAACAACAACACATACGATAAAAACTTGAAACAGCAAAATAATCCGCGAAAGGGACAGACACATGCATTTTCGGAGGAGACAGAAAACGTCTTTCAACAGTAGCTTCCAAATGCAAAAAAACAAAAAACAAAAACAAAACAAACTACGGGAGCGAGCTGTTCCTTACCTGGAGGCTCGCAGGGAGAAGCGCAGGGGGAATCGGAGAGGTCCCGGGGGTGTCCGTCTCCGCTCGCCAGCAGACCGCTGCGGAGACAGGGCAGGGTTTAAATAGCCCCAGCTGGAGACATGTCAGGACTTAGCTCCTCCACCAGCCGACGCCGAACGTGTCCCAACTTGACCAGCCCCACAGGAAGAGCTGAGTCAACCCGGCGCAGCCCAGTCCCACCCGTCCCGGAAGCCGAGTGCGGGCGAGCCAGGAACCCGGCACCTGTTAACCTCCCCGACCCCTGCCGGGAGCCCAGCGCGACCCCGGAGCCGCCCCCCGGCCGCGGGGCCTGCTGGGAGAGCCCAGCTCTTCTCCCCTCTCCTCCCTCCTTCCCCCTTTCCTGCGCGTGCGCCGTGTCAACCGAGACGTTTCCCCCCTCCCACCCACCCACCCACCCCTCCGGACAAGGACATCAAAGCGCAGCGGTCGGTAAACGGTCACCCAGCCTCGTCCCCCGCGACCCCGCGAGCCGAACCGGCCTGCGAGTGGGCCCCGGAGGACACGGGAATGAGGGCATATGATCGGGATCCTCCGCCGCCCAGCCCGGCACGGAGCGTCGCTCTCGGGCGGGTACCTGCTACTCCCCGCGCATCCTCCGACCCTTCACGGGGAGCCCGGAGGCCCGGCGGCCAAGGCCTGAGCGACCATTTCGCTCGGGAGCTCCAACGAAGCGACGGCGGTCCCGGATGGAGAGCGCGGTCGTTCCTAAGTTACCCCGGTTTCGGAGGCCCCCGTACACAAAGCAGAGTTCCGTGACGAGCGCCCCCTACGGTCGGCGGACAGAGCGCTGGAAGCTTCGGGCCATCCGGGCATCGGAGCGCGCGCGCGCGAGCCCGGCGCCGCCTCCTGGACCAATAGGGGCCTGGGGGCGGGGCTCAGCGGCCGCGCGGCGCGTGGGCGAGCAGGAGGTGGGGAGGGGTCGCGGTCCCGCGCTGCGCCATTGTGTTTACCAATTCAAACCGCAGTAGTAACTAGGCAAATTCATATCCGACTGTTGCCGCTCCCGAAACGGAAGCAAGAATAACAGCTGGGTAGTATTTTTAAATCCATCCCGCCAGCAGCTGAAGTTGTATACAAATGAGTTATTTTCAGACTTTTAAAATAAGCAAGGCGGGGATACGGGACTGGGGGGCGGGGGGGGGGGGGAGCCCACGCGCTTAGAGGAGGGGAGAGGGTGATCGGGAAGGGGACAGAGAGAGGGATGTAAAGTGAATAAGTAAGTAATAAATAAGTGAAAACAGGGTGAGGCGATGACTCCGAGTGCATACTGTTCCTTTAGGTTTTCAATCACCCATGCCACACAAGCCCTGTCATTCCAGGGGACCCAACACACTCTTCTCGTCTCCATGGGCACCTGCACTCGTGTGCACAGACATACGCATAATTAAAATTTAAATTAAAAAAAAAATTAAAGACTGTTAAGGGTCCATGATACCCTGAACTCATAGTATGTAAAAGCAAAGAATGTTTTATTCTGCATAAGTCCAGTATTCTGGGGGTCTCCCCATTACCAAGATAGAGAGACACCCAAGTGAGCTTGCAGGCCTGATCTAAAGCACATTAGGGAAGTCTGGGGTAGGTGACCTCTGTTAATCTATTGGGTCCATCTCTAGGAACATTCCATTCCCGGGATGAGAGGGCTGGAAACTCTTGGCTGAGGACCTCTAGAAACTGCTGGAAACTGCTGCCGGCCCATTGTCCTTGCCTCAGGCCGGGTGGCAGGGCCTGGACTTGCCTGGAATTGCCCAGTTCTTGAAAACAGATTTAGGCCTAGTGTCCTTAACTGCCAATTTGAAGCTTGTCTTAGAATCAACCTAGCCTTCTCAATACATACACTCCAGTGTTTACAAACTTTCTAAATTGGTAGTTATCGTGAGGGCCTAAGATAGCATTTAAGTTAGAGGAATTGGGGCTCTGACGTTGCTGCTTTAGGTGGTGCAGACGCAGATAAAAAGAAGAAAAGCACTACGAGACCAGACGGAAGGGTGCACATCTGTAATCCCAGGTACTGAGCAGCAGCTGGCTGGGTCCACATTAAGATCCATCTAAGAATGGAGGGTGTGTGGCACTTATTGAGGAGGTCCTGTATTGTTCGGTCCTCGGTACCCAAACCAAAAGCCCCAGATCTTAAAAGACTTAAAACCAGAGATGGGGCCGGGCGGTGGTGGCGCACGCCTTTAATCCCAGCACTCGGGAGGCAGAGGCAGGCGGATTTCTGAGTTCGAGGCCAGCCTGCTCTACAGAGTGAGTTCCAGGACAGCCCGGGCTATACAGAGAAACCCTGTCTCGAAAAACCAAAAAAAAAAAAACAAAAAACAAAAAAAAAAAATGGGCTCTCACTATGAAGCCCTGGCTGCTCTTAAACTCACAGAGCTATGCCTGCCTTTGGCATCCCCAAACAAAACACTGTGAGGGGATGGGTGGGGTCCTCACCAAAGGCTGGTAATACCTATGGTTATGACTAGTGTGCTTGTTTATCCTGTAAATTCCTGTCAATCTTCAGTCTCTCAAGGATTTAGTACTCGATGTTTATGGTATATACAAGGGTACACCAAAATATGCCTCCCCAAAACAGACTTCATATCATATTTTGAGATGGCTTCTTGGGCTAGTGAGATGGCTCAGTGGTTAAGAGCACTGACCGCTCTTCCAGAGGTCCCGAGTTCAAATCCTAGCAACCACACAGTGGCTCACAACCATCTGTAATGAGATCTGATGCCCTCTTCTGGTGTGTCTGAAGACAGCTACAGCATACTAATATATAATAAACAAACCTTTAAAGAAAGAAACAGATGGGTTCTTGGAGGGCAGGCAAACACAAGTATCACCCTGAGAATCACCCCCCTTGTAATATATGTTCATCTATATACATTACTACATGGCAGACAACAGGCAGTGGCATTATTTGCTGGGACATGTCTGCCCAAGACAATCTACATGAGGCCATTTCACAGCTCTGGAGACTGAGGATCCTTACTCATACTGAGACTACCACAGGTCATCACTGCTCTTCTGAGGGCAACGCTAACATTCCAGAGTCTTTGCATAGCAAAACAATCTTTTAATTCTCCCCACACTCCCACCTGTTGACCACCTGCTTCTAGAAGCCCCAAGTCCCTCCTCCCCGTCCCTCTCCCTCTCCCTCTCCCTCTCTCTGTAGTCTCTGTAGTCTCAGCTCTGCTGAGCCCTTTGAGTCTTACATTTTGTGATGCTTATTTTTAAAATATTGTTCTTTTTGTTTTACTTTTGGTTCGGAGGTTTTGGTTTGAGACAGGATCTCACTATGTAAAATAAGTTGGCCTTGAACTTAGGAAGATCAACTTGCTTCTGTGAGTGCCACCACACCTGGCTAATAATGTTGTTCTTAATGCTACATCCCCGCTGAGCGATGAAGACACTTGAGTGCCTTTTCAATTGTGTGTGTGTGTGTGTGTGTGTGTGTGTGTGTGCTGAGCTACACAGTCCTTGGCCTGAGGATTCTCCTTACAACAGTGCAAACTCATTTGATTCCATTTGCCATAGAAGCTCTTAAAGACGTGTCTTAGTTACCCTTCTATTGCTGATGAGAGTCGCCATGACCAAGGTAACTCGTGAAAGAGAGCATTTGACTGGGGCTTGTGTTTCAGAGGATGGGGGCACGAGCAGGATGGTGGGGAGCAGGGCAAAAGGCAGGCAGGCGTGCACTGCAGCAGTAGCTGAGAGTTTACATTCTTATCTACAGTTTGGAGGGAGGGAGAGAGGGAAAGAGAGAGAGAGAGAGAGAGAGAGAGAGAGAGAGAGAGAGAGAACACTCATGAGAGCAAGCACTTGGGCCTGGCATGGGCTTTTGAAACCTCAAAGCCTACCCCCAGTGACACACCTCCTGGAAGAAAAACACCTCCTAATCCTTCTCAAACAATTGCACTAAATCATGGTTCTCAACCTGTGGGTCGAGACCCCTTTGGGGGGGTCAAATGACCCTTTCATAGGGGTCACCTAAGACCACCAGAAAACACAGATATTCACATTACATGTTATTTACATGAGGTGGTAAAACCTTAAAACTAAAAATGTCGGGGCTGGAGAGATGGCTCAGTGGTTAAGAGCACTGACTGCTCTTCCAGAGGTCTTGAGTTCAAATCCCAGCAACCACATGGTGGCTCACAACCATCCGTAATGAGATTGGATGCCCTCTTCTGGTGTGTCTGAAGACAGCTACAGTGTACTCATCAATAAAATAAATAAATAAAAAAAAAAAAAAAAAAAAAAAAAAAAACTAAAAATGTCTGTTTCCCAGAGAAGCAGATCAGGCTCCTCAGAGGGAGCTAGCTACTGACAGCCGCTGTCAGTCACTGATGGCTCTGACGAGATAAGGTCAGAGCTGAGTCAGTTCCTGGAATGTCCTCAAGGCCTCACCAAATACAGTGAAACTAACATAACAGACAATCAGAAAAGATCCATGTAACTTCCCGGCACTCGCCAATGAAGTTTTAGATCACCTAACCTTTGCTAAAATCCCCCTAGTTCCCTATTTAAAAAGAAGCCTGTGCACCTTTGTCTGGGGTCGCCATTTTGAGGAATGGCTGACCCCTGCATGCTGGTTCATTTCTGCAGAATAAACGTTCTTTGCCTTTGCACACTGTTTGAGTCCGGGGTCTTCCTTCAGTGACTTTTGGACCCCAACAAAATTGTAGATATAAAGTAGCATCAAAGGGCTGGAGAGATGGCTCGGGGGTTAAGAGCACTGACTGTTTGTTCTCCAAAGGCCCTGAGTTCAGTTCCCAGCAACCACATGGTGGCTCACAACCATTTGTAATGGGATCCCATGCCCTCTTCTGGTGTGTCTGAAGACTGTGAGGGTGTACTCATATACATAAAATAAATAAATCTTAAATAAGTAAATAAGGTAGCAGCAAAAATAAAGTTATGGTTGGGGGGTCACCACATGAGGAACTGTATGTATTTGTATGTATTAAAGGGTCACAGCATTAGGAAGGCTGAGATCCACTGCTGTAACTGGAGATCAAGCAGTCAAACAGATGAGCCTACGTACAAGGCCATTCTCATTCAAACCTCCACAGGGAGGAACTGGAACCACAGAAGTCATCTTTAGAAGAACCAATGTCTATAATCTCTGGTATACCCCATAAATCCAAGACATACAATCACACCTCGAGGGAAAGGTGCTGAAGACACAGAAGCCAAGTGAGTGTGGGCAGTATCCTCATTTCTGAAGATAGAGAAGCTGTTGGGGTTTCCCCCAGGCCAAGCAGGCCCTGGAAAAGAAGGCAGTTGGATAACAGAATTGTGATTTTTTTTCTGGGCTTGGTGGTATATGCTTGTAGTCTCAGCCACTTGGGAAGCGGAATGTTTTCCTGTGTTTTTTTTCTCCACAAATAACATGTTCACCCAATCATCATCTTGGAATAGGGGGTCACCGTGACCTGGTAGCTATGGCAACTAATTGAACAGAATGATACAGAAGTCGCAAAGTCTATAATGATGCCAGTGGACCTATGGATATTTCTTAGTAGACGGGATGATGGGAAGAACTTAAGATCCTCAGGCGGGGTTCCCCTCATTACCTCTTCTTTTTCTCTCTTCAGCAGCAAGTGACTTAGGGAGAAACCAGAACATACAGTATACGTCTTTTACTTATGAAACACCATGACCAACAAGCAAGTTGAGGAGAAAAGGGTTTATTTGGCTTACACTGCCATAGCTCATCATTAGAACTCAAGCAGGGCAGGAACCTGGGGGGCAGGAGCTGATGCAAAGGCTGTGGAGGAGTGCTGCTTACTAGCT